TTTTTTTTTTTTTTTTTGGTTTAAGACAAATTTGTTCCCAAAAATAATTCCGTGTTAAATACAGCTAATTGAACTTAAGTACAGCCGATGCGTTAGACATTAGAAACACATTGAAACTCAGTTTTCATTTTAAACAGAAATATAGTGATACCCTCATTCTGGGTGAGCATGCACGAATGAAAGATGCTCTGGATCACGCGCGAGACTTCTTCCGTACTGTCTGAACAGCAGGATCTGGAGAGATTGAGCAAGATCTCACTCCGAGATCTGAAGGTGGGCTGTGTTTCCAGAGCAGGAGGCTGTTGGAACCTGCTGACTCCAGGGGCAGTGCGTTTGTATTGCATCGTGTTTAGCTCACGGTGATGCTCAGGGTTGTCCTGGGCTAAGAAGATATTCAGACGGCAGGACTGTTTAGCTTGAGTGAAATCTAGTACCTATGGAAAGATCTGCTGCTTACACCATTTCCTAGTTTGAAGACGGAAAAATAGGATTTGCAAAGGATACTTGCCATATACAAACAGTTGATAGACAGTAGTACTCTTTTTGTTTAAATTTTAGTAATTTTACAAAGGTTTAAAAAATACAAAAAAATTTTTTAATGATATTAAAAAGACTATAATTTATACATACCTCTATACTAAGAAGAAAAACGAAATAGCCCATAATCTCACTGCCCTCATATTATCAGAAATAATATAGAAAGATATTAAATGAAAAGTAAGTCTTTCTCCTCCCTCTTTTGAATTCCTTTTCCCAAAGGTGATTGTCATTAGTAATTTTTTTTTGCCTATACTGAAGTATTTACTATACACATGTGCAACTCGGTGGTGTGCTGATAAATGTTGAACAACCAGCTCTCTGTGCCCATGAGTTTCTAATTCTCAGGTAAATCATGAAAGTGCTTTTATTACCCATGGCGGCAGGACCCATGAGCAAGGAGCGAACCAGTCCAGAATTTGCAAAAGGATTTGTCTGGGTATAGAAGGAGCACTTGCATTAGCGGGAAGCTGGCCTGAGTCCTTCTGATAGCAAATGTTGTGATGACAAATAAATATGAGTAGTCATTTTGCTAGCTAAAATCAATAGTCAAACTCTGAATATTGTCATTCAGTCTCCAAGAACTTAGTAATTTCTGAGTAAATAACAAGCTGTCAATAAACAGTAATTATTAATATTATTTTACTTAGGCTGAAAAGAGGGGTGGTAATATAGCCCATGTAATCTTGAAAATAATTTGTTTTAAACATTTAATATATAAACTATTGTATCTCCTCTTAGTGGAATGTGAGCTCCGTAAGGGCTTTGGGGCTTCTGCATTGTGTGCTGTTCTTAGAATAGGCAGTGGAGGCTGGTCTCCTGAGCCCTGCATTTTAGGGGCTCTACTCTGGCCATCCTCCATCTGTGCCACCCCCATGGGAGATTTATCTATGCGACCGAGGCACCCACCCAGAGCCTATGCCGTCCCTCCACTCTGGATAATGCCCTCGAGCCCAGACCCTGACATTTCAGACATCTCAGACCGGCAGAGACTTGTGTCTGCTTCCAGGGTCTGTGCATGTTCTCTTTCCTTCCTCCAGGACACTGAGGTTGTGCTGCACCCCCGGTACGTACACCCGTAGGCCCAAGGGGTGGTCCAGGGGTAGCTCTTGATGTGTGTGTGGAATGTAAAAAGATGAAGCTTAGAGGTGTGTTCTGGAGTGTCCACATGGTCTCCCTCCCAGTGCAGGATGAAACATGGGTGGGATGAGAAGTGGAGAGAGCTGTGGGTCTCGAGCTGCAAGCTGGGGGCTGGAGTCTAGGTTCTGGCTCTCCCTTCCCTGCCAAATTCTGGTGTAGAACAGCAAGGAAGCTGGGAATTCTAAATTCAAACTTGGCCTTCTAGGTTATTATGAAGGTATACTTTTCAAGGTTGGGGGATAGAACATATTTTATTCAACAGTCAGGTTGTTATAAGCACTGGTGTGCTGGTAAATATTTAACAAGAGGCTCTCTGAAAAAACAACAGCAACAACAACGGCCCAGTTTGTAGTGTTTGCCATTCGCAGTGGTGTAAATGCTCCCACCATGGCCAATTTCAAGCCAACAGTGCAACATTACTGAATGTGAATTTGGGAAGAGATGCATACAGTTGGCTCTCCTGAGCTGGTAACAGCTGGATCCAGCACACCATTGTTTATAATTTTAAATATTGAGACATGTCATATAGGGGCCTTAATTTGTACTCTCATTCTTGGCCCCCTGAGGTTCATGACGCATACCCTAGTGTGTAGAAAAGCGCTGGCATGTAGTAGACCCTTAATAAATACCTCTTGAATAAAAACCCCTACTAGTTACATGACTTTGGGTAAGTCATTCATCTAGAAATTAATCTGTACTTTACAGAGTTCTTGACCAAATGACACAGTTTGTGTGAAAGCTAGAGCACAGTTATTGGCACCTTATATACAATCAGTAAATGTTCTTGAAAGAATGAACAATAGACATTCAACAAATTTGAATATCTTTTATTATATTTGGGAAAAACTCAAGTTTTTAGTTTAAGCCATTCTTAGGTGTTTGTATGTTTCTGCAGTTGTCTCTAGGTAAAGACAAATGCCCATTTCTTTTAGAATTTTTCCTGGAGGACCCTTTGTGATAGACATCTCATTTTCATTCAGTTCCCAAGGGAACAGTGCTCACACAATGTTACTCATTTTAGAAAGTTTGGTAAAATTCCATTTGGCTGCAAGTCTGTTATCTGAGCCTAGGGGAGGAAAGGCTGTGTTTTATGCTCCAACTTTGTTCTCAGCTGTATTTTGTATCCTGGGACAGTGGAGAGAAAAATGGCTTTGAATTAATACTTGAGATTTAGTCATTCCATATGTTACCCTCTGTGAGGAATGTGTTGAGTTTTCAAGATGAACACGTGAGAAATATGGAAGTATAAA